AAGGTTGATGCCACTATCCCGGTTCATTTCTAAAACATCAGCGGTTTTATCCACCATTGCTTTTGCACCATCAGTGCAAATGTCAACCCAGATGTTCTGGTATAAGCCATAAAATTCAAAAATTTGAATATTTCAACACTACTTGCATGTATTGCCAAGCATTCCACATAAAAGATGATCTTTGATGATTGGCCCATGTTGGCTGGCACTGAACCAATTTAATCAAAATAAAAAAGCCCATTCATGTCTGCACATTCGTCTATTTCTTAGACAAAAGTAATATTCTGCAGACAAGGTATTAACTCTGTCTTTTTGTACTAAGATCCATGGAGAAAGAAAAGAAAATGGGAGACAGTGCTACTTTAGAGAGGATTGTCGAGGAAGGCCTTTCGGAGAATATGATATTTCAACCAATAACTGAGGAATGATCCAGCCCCGTAGGGAAAGGCACTGCAGGCAAATAAAAGGGCATGTTCCAAGGACCAAGGATGGGAATGGCCTTGAGTGATGGAGAAACAGAAATGGGTTAGTGTGATTATAGAGGAAAGAGGAGGGGCCAACACCTTAGGCCAGGTGGTCTGAGACAGAACACAAGAGGTGTTATAATCCATTAGAAAGAGTTGTGGTCTCATTCTAAGAACAATGGAAAGCCAGGTGAGCACCATGGCTCACCAACATTTGATTTATGTTTTTAAAAGTTTATTTAGGTTGCTTAGATTTAAAGATAGATCTGGAGTAGAACCACCTTATTGTGCATCTGCATAATAATTTATGTCACTGCCCCACAACAACCTTGGGCAATCCATCAATCTTTATAATCTTAGCTTCAATTTAGGTTGTTTCAGGAACAGCATTTTGTTATCTATTTGTTTTTGCTAGTCATATGGGCCATCTATAATTGCTATATCACCGGTGGCTAATACAAATGGAATTGCAAAACCCTTTTTTTTACCTAAAGTCTTGTTTTTAAACCATCAGTACTATCACTATTAATATAAAGACAAAAATAAATGTCCAATTCCCAGAACTGGCATTTCTCTCAGCGTTGTCTGGCATGAGTTATAAAAATGACAAATGTTAACCTTCAAACAAGAAAACAGAATATCAACTACATTTCCACAAAAATCACGGAAACAACAATGTCAGGCTGAAACAGTCTAATCAAAAAGGAGATAACATGTATTAATAATGAATATAGTTAAGCATTATTCTTAATAGCCAAAGGATATAATGAATAACAACAACAACAAAAAAATCTAGATAACTGGAGTTGTCAAGCTTGATATAAAAACAAGGAAGATATGGATGGGTCTCCTTAATACCAATGAAACTGCTTAATAGTGACGACCAATCTAGTAGTGCTACAAAATCATAGTTTGTTGGAATAATAATTACATATTCATTGATTCAGATGAAGGAAAAAAATTCCTGCTAGGAGGTTATCTTGGTACAAATTATCTATGATGTCCTCATTTCTGCATCTTTCACGGAAGTCGCAGGAAAAAAGAGGTATTTTTTTCTTTTTTTTTTTCTAAAAACATTTTCAAAAAGCTGTTTTCAAAACAGCTATGCAAATGAATTTATATCTTCATTCAAAATTTATTAACAGTTTCTAGTTGGTCCCTGTAACAAAAACGAGTCTCAGCTGATACAGTCAGGTTGTAGCGTGGATGTGATCCAGGCTCTCGGTTTCAGCAGGTCAGTCTACACCCCTGTTTGACAAAACAGAAAACAAGCCAACAACGAAAGCAACCTGTGATGAAAATAACTAAACTAACACAAGTCAGCCTGCAATTATAAGTGTGGTGCATCCACACACACAGGCACACAAGGAAGCACAATTGGATACACACATATATCTAAACCCACATGGTCTTAATATCCAGAAATGATTTTCTCCAGAAAGAATGCTACCTCTTCACACTGGAGTGAGCAGTGTCTCACAAAATTATATCTGAAGCCAAAATATGTTTAATTCATCGCAAATACCACACTAATAATGAATTATTACATTTCACAATCATCTTTTACATTGTCTACCAAGTGTCCCCAACATAGGGAGCCACTGATGCCTTCACCCACCCATAAATCAACAAAAGTCTGACTCAGAGTGGCTGAGGCTATAAGCATGTGTATAGTTTCTAATAGCAAAGAGTCCAATTTCAGCCATGTGGGTTTGGTTACATGGATCACTTTTGTAATGCTTGGGTCATGGCTGTAGGTGAGCCCATCACCGAAATAGTGTTCATTGTACCCATTGGGACATTTTTGCCCATCCCTTCTTTCCCCTTCTGCTTCCTCTCCCCCTCCCCCTGCTTGATTTCTACTGAGTTTTACTTCCCTCCTGTGCACATGTGTGATCATTGGTTAGTTCCAGTTTAATAGTGAGTACATATGGTGTATGTCTCTCCCTTCTTGGGATACTTCACTTAGGAAAATGCTCTCCAGTTCCATCCAAATTGTTGCAAAAGGCACTAATTCATCCTTTTATGGCTGTGTAGTACTCTCTGTAGTATACATATACCACATTTTATTAGTTCACTTATGAATTAATGGGCACTGGGGTTGATTCCACGTCTTTGCAGTTGTGAATTGTGCTGCAATACACAGTTGAATGCAGTTGTCTTTTTGATAAAATGACTTCTTTTCCTTTGGGTAAGGACTCAGTAGTGGGATTGCTGGATATAATGGTCTACTTAGAGTTCTTTGAAAAATCTCCACACTGTTTTCCATAGAGGTTGTACTAATTTGTAGCCTCACCAACAATATATAAGCATTTTTTTTTATCTCTGTATCCGTCCTGGTATCTATTGTTCTTGGACTTCTTAATAAAAGCCATTTTAATAGGAGTAAGGTGATCTCATTGTAGTTTTAATTTGTATTTACCTGATGATTAGTTATATTGAACATTTGTTCATATAACTATTGGCCAGTTGTCTGTCTTCTTTTGAAAAACTTCTGCTCGTGTCTTTTTCCTATTTTTTAATGGGATTGTTTGGCTTTTTCTTGCTATTTTGTTTGAGTTCTGTACAGATTCTGGTTACTAGCCCTTTACTGGATATATATCTTAGAAATATTTTCTCCCATTCCATAGGCTGTCTATTTGATTGTTGATTATTTCCTTAGCTGGGCAGTAGCTTTTTGGTTTAATTAAATTATATTTATTTATTTTTGTTGTTGCTGTGAATGCCATTGGAGTCTTACTTATAAATTCTTTGCCTAGGCTGATATCTGGAAGAGTTTTTCCTACATTTTCCTCTAAAATTCTTATGGTTTCATGCCTCACATTTGAGTCCTTTATCCATCTTGAATTATTTTTTCTGCATGGTGAGAGATAGGGTTCCTGTTTTATTCTTAGGCATGTGGCTATCCAATTTCCCAACACCACTTATTGAATAAGGCTTTTTTCCCCCAGTGTACATTGTTGTCTGCTTTGTCAAAGATCTGTTGGCTGCAGGTAGGTGGTTTTATTCTCAGTTCTCTACTTTTGTTCCATTGGTCTATGTCTCTATTTTCGTACTAATACCATGTTGTTTTGGTTACTATAACCTTAATATAGCCTGAAGTCTGATAATGTGATGCTGTGAGAGTTGTTATTTTTGCTTAAGATTGTTTTGGATATTGGGGCTCTTTTCTGGTTTCAAATGAAGTGCAGAATTATTTTTTCTAGATCTGTGAAGTATTTTGGTATTTTGATGGGTACTGCATTGAATCTGTAAATCATATTGGGTAGTATGGACATTTTAACAATGTTCATTATACCAATCCACGAGTGTGATATGTTTTTCCACTTGCTTGTGTCCTCTGGGATTTCTTTCCTCAGTGTTTCATAGTTCTCCTTGTGCAGATCTATCACCACTTTGCTTAAGTATATTCTTACAGATTTTATCTTCTTTGTAGCTATTGTAGCTATTACTTCTTTGTAGTCTTTGATTTGACTCTCAGCTTGACTGTTATTGGTATATAGAAATGTTACTGATTTGTGTACATTGATTTTGTATCCTGAGACTTTGCTGAATTTATTTATCAATTCCAGGAGTCTCTCGGTTGACTCTTTGGGGTTTTCTAAGTACAGGATTCTCTCAACATCAAACATTGGCTATTATATGATTCTAAAGAGTCTAATATAATCACAACTACAATGCAAGCCAGAAAAACTGGATATACCTTGTCTCTATTTATTATGATGGAAACGTTACCAGTAGCCTTCTAAAAGGCTCATCTTTGTATTTCATTGCTGCATACCTACCTCAAAATCAATTACAAAAAATGGGAATGAGACTCTCCCCATTTTTGGCTTACAGCAATTAGGAAACTTTGAGGCTTATGATAAAACAAGCTTCCTCTGAAACACATAAATGATCAAGGAAACAAATACCTGAACTCAGAAGAGGGAATGGGGAGAGTGGGTGTTGAGTTGACAAGATAGAATACTGAGGAATACTTTGAAAGCTAGCGTGGTATGAAATGTTAAAGATGAAGATTTAATGAAAACAAGATAGTTCAGTCAGCCAAAAGAGAGGAGTACTAGATTTTACAGCTTAACTTTGTGCTCCTAATATTCTATTTGAAAATTGTTTTCCAACAACAGAATATTTTGAATCAGACAAAAGAACCATATTTGGAATACATGGAAGTTGACCCACACCTTGAATTACCTAGGGGTACATTTTACAGAAAACATCTTTTGTCTAATTATGGATTTATAGATAATGAGTAAAATTTTGATTTGATAGTAAGATGCAGAAATTGCATTAGGTTTTTTAAAATGGTGTCTTTTGTATTGAGAAAAATCTTGTAATAAAACTATATTCTAAAACATATAAATTAACATTTTGCATCGTGCATAATATTATTATGCACTATTAATTTCACCATTTAATTTTCCCCAATGTATTTTTAAGGCAGATTCCTGGATAATTTAATGGCATATTACTCAAAATCATTGCAAGTTAATAAATGCAGAATAAGACTAATTGTCTTTTTTCTCAATTTTTAAGATCCCGACTTTAAGGACCTTGGAGTTTTGAAACCATTACCAGGTTAGTACAATAGATATTTAATAATGTTCAGAGGACTTTGTATTCTGCTATGAAATATACTTTTGGTTTATTATTCAAGTTCCATTTTTGTGTGTGTGTTTGGCATTTTGTTATTTAGTGTGTGAGTTTGAGATGGGCGGTCCTGAAGGAATTGTGGAGTCCATACAAATTATGAAGGAAGGCAAAGCTTCTGCTAGTGAGGCCGTTGATTGCAAGTGGTATATCCGGGCACCTCCACGATCCAAGGTTAGTCTTAATATGAAACCCAGACTTGACAGTGTACTTAACAAGTGTCTCTAACCTGCATTGCTTTGAAGCAACTGGACATGCTTAATATATTTCAGAGTGCAATTGTAAGCTATGATTTTATTATGGCTTTGAAAAGCAACTTATTTTCTCCTACCCAATCTAACATACAGTGTCATAAATAACAATATGCAGAGTGTGTTGAAGAGATCATTTGATAATCTGGACAATAGACTTTCAGGTAAGTCTAACTCTCTGAAAAATGGATTGAAATGCTATACCAGAGCCATTGTTCCAAGCATAATTACACTTCTGCTCTTATTGTTAGTATCTGTCATTTGTTTGTTTTCTAATGTAAAATTGTATCTATGGAAGAAATTAGCAGGGGCTTACAAAATCATGTGTGTCTGGCATATAATATACAGGTGTAACAAGCCTGGGGGCCAATGATTCCAGCACCTGGGAGAGCCTGTGCCCATTCCAAGGGGGCAGGCTCCACTCACCTGCCCATTGAGTTCCTCATCTTTGTTGTTATGAGAAAATGTGGGTCCTGCATTACCAAGTCCTCCATTTTTTTCATAACACACCAAAAATGTAGATTTTGTGTTGATCACCCTGATTTTTAAGCGTTGCAATACATTGTAAAGATTATAAATATTGTATGTATTTAATTAAATTTGTCATGGGCCAGATTCAGACTCAGGCCACCATTTTGGAACCACTTCTATAAAATAAAATGAAGTAGATATTCATCCTATTTATGGAAATATCTTCCAAAATATTGAGCATCATCATTTTGCACCAGTAGCCATCATGGATATACAGTGTTGAATATTGGCTTATCCTCCTTTTATTCTTATTCTTCAGTTCTAAAGTTGCAAGAAAATGTTATTAATTTATTGGATTTGTAGTTGACTATTGAGGTTGAAACAGTTTGTTATTTAATTAATTGATTCAGTGACCTCGTACAATCTCAAGGACTATGCCAGAGAAATGGAAAAGTGCACCAGGCCCTGTCCTCTAAGTGTTTAGTTTTGTTTCTAGAAAACTATGTAACAAATTAATCTAAGCAATAAGGTAATATCATTGAGGTATTTATCAGGTATAACAGAGTGAGAGAAAAGACCACATATACCTGGTAGGGTAAGTCAAAGGTGGAACCGAATAGCAGTCTGGGTGTAGGCTGAGAGTTAATGAGAAATAGGATTGGCAGATAGGTGAGGTGAGAGGGCTCTCCAGGCAGAGAGAATAGCACCTGTGAAGTCATGGACTCCTAAGAGTGTGTGCTTTCTCAGGAATTAAAGTAATTGCATATGAAAAAGCTTTGAGATGGGGGAGTGTTGGGTTATGATGCTAAAGGGCTCTGTGGGGCTCCCTGAAGAACTAGGACGTCTCCCTGAGTGCTTTAGTGATACACAGAAGAAGGAAGCAGAAAAGTGACATGACCGGAGTGCGTTTTGGGAAAATAGCTTTTTCCTTTGAGGAAAAGACAGAGGAGTCAACACAGCAAGTAGAAGACCAAGTAGGAAGCTACAGAAGCAGGAATCCCAGTGTCTTTAGACTGGATCACAGTGGTCGACCATGAAGAAAACATTAAAGAGAGACAGGGTAGAATTTGGTGACCGGATATTCATGCTAAGAAACAAAGAAGTGTCATCTTTGAGGACGTTGGAATTTCAGGAAATATTTTTTTTTTCTTTTTTCACTTGATGCTTCCTTGGATATATATCTCTAGCGTTTGCATATAAAATAGAGTTGTGGCATGTTGTTTCCTGATTTCCAATTACAGAGATTCAGAGATTTTGGTCCAGGTTCCAGCTTTTGACACTTGCAGTTCCCTATGCATCTGAGAAAAATCTTTGAAAACGTTAATTGCATTATGAAGAAATACATAGTTATTCTTCTTTTTTTGTTGTCAGTCCAAAGCTATTGATAACATAAAACCATAAATACCCACTACATGGATTATAAAAGAGTTAGACTGCAGTTCATTATGCTCTCTTTCATAAAATGTCTATTCACATGCAAGTGCTGTTTATTTTTCTTAAACTCTATGAATGAAAGATTTTATAAGACTTTCCTTCAACAGGAAAGATATGTGACACATCTTGGTGTCATAACCAGCACCTTTGTCACCACAGTGCTAAAGAGAAAGATTTCGTGAGAGTGTAAGAACACACCTTTCCCTTCCAGCTGGTAAATAAATAGGCTGTCTTTTGTACAATCTCAGACAACAATAACGGGTGTACCTGTCTGTTACGAAATTTGGCATTCCGTGACCCAAAGGGGAAGCAGCCCGCAGAGCTGGACAAAGATGGCTCTTTTGTGACAGGCTTTCTCTGTTAAATTAAAGGTTAGAGGAGAGGAAGTGGCTTTGAATACTGCGGAGAAAAGCAAGAACTGGAGATTACTGCCTGTGTGGGCTTTCTATTTTTGTGGAGCTCCTAGCAGCTCATGAGCACAGACTATCAAAGCGTGCGTTAAACTTGAAATGGCTCGTGGTGACTGTTTGAATGATGCTGGTGACTGAACCATATTGCCCAATCAAAGTGCTAAATAGCTTAGTTGGGTTCCATTAAAATTTATATAAATTACATATTGCTTTTCAGACCTTTGACAAATAGAAAATATAATATCTGGTATCTCCTTTATTTGAGAATAGTAATATAGATGGTCCCATTTAACTAGAATGGGATTAACCAAGATTTCTTAGAATTTAGAAAACCAAAGCCAGAGAGAACATTGAAAGTCTATTACTGTCTAGATCATTTATAAGATGAATAAACTGAGTCAGGACCGTAAAGTTCAACACGGGCTAAGAACAGGGTATAGAAATACGCCTCTGTGAGCAAGTATTTCAGAAATACCAAGATACTAAGGTAAGGGTGGCATAGGGTCTTATAGCGTCCAGTTCTGACTCTGGTCTAGGAAACCACCAGCAGAAGAGAATGAAGGGAGATAAATCTAATATTCAAACCTTAACTCCATCAGAGCCGGGCCTTATTTGTATACCAGATACCCAGTGTCAACCAAATGCCTGTTATTCAATTAAAATTCATGGAATAAATGAACTTATGTAGTTCTAGAAGAAAAGTCATATAGTAATCTTCAAATATTTGAAGTACAGTCATATGACAGAGGAATAAGATTTAATGTGCATAGTTTTAAATACTGAAATTTATTTGAATATTTGAAACTAGAGAAATGTAGCTTTCAATTTAATATAGAAAAGGTTGTTTTGTTTTAATAATGGAGATCAAATGGGATCTCACAGGAGGAATCCAAACAGAGTTTGGCAGAGTCTTTGTATAATAATTAAAAGTCAAGTAATGGTTTGGCACAGGTAACAGGAAAGTCCTTTCAAAACCAAAATTCCATGACGCTGTGATAAGTGATTTGCCCAGATATTTGGCTGGTTAGTAATGGAGTTGGAGCAAGATGAACACCTCCTAACTCCTGGTATGGTTTGATGTCACAAAAACCACACTATTTGATATAATAATCAAGTTTTATTTTTAATTTCATTTTTAATACTTTTTAAATGTAATTTTAATTGAAAAATAATAATTGTTGTGGAAGTAGAATGTGATGTCTTGATATATGTTTCCATTGTGGAATGATTAAATCAATCTATTAACAAATATATCATTTCACATATCATTTGCTAAAAAAGGATCGGGGATAGAGTCAAAAGACTTATAAAAATGTACAAATGAAGATTATTAATTAATAGTCAATGTTTTGGGATAATAAAGCTCTAGATTTTACTATTTTCCCATCATTTAATGTTTCAAAATAATTTTTAATTTTTCTACTTAATTCAAAAGTAATGTGTGCCAAATTATAATCAAGTGTGCATAGATGCTTGACAAACACAGTAAGTCAATGGAATTTTATAGTCATGTTGTGGTACAGGTGTTAAAGTTGCTTATACAATCAACATAAGCATTACAGGCAGAATCCTAAGAGGGTAGCCAGGACTCCAGCCCCAAACCCTGGGGCTGTGAATAGGATAAAATATCACACACTTGATTATGTTGTTACCCAGCAAAAGGGGATTTTGCTGATGTGATTAAGATTACCAATCAGTTGACTTTGGGTTAATCAAAATTAGATTAACCGCCTAAACCTAGTCTAATCACATGAACCTTTAAAAGCAGACAGATGTCTCTCTGGTTGTGAGTGAAGGGAGAAGCCAGAGAATGAGAGAACCTGGGAATGAGGACGACCCCCTGGTCAGCAGCCATCAGGAAAATGGGAGTCTCGGTTGTAGAATTGCAAGGATTCTCACCCTCACTTGCGCTTAGCAAAGAACAGAGTCAAGCCTGGAGTACTTCTGCAGAACAGAAAGCGTGTAATGGAATGTTTGTGTAAAGCTGCTAAATTAGTGATACTTTCTATGGAGCAATAGAATATTAATGCAATATATTAAGGGTACTAAATGTAAGTAACTACAATAAGTATTAAGGATTCTAAAGATTGACTGTGCCCTCATTATCTCCAAAAGTGAGAATAAAATTAGGTAAACAAAGTGAAAACTTATATTGGCTAGATAACTACCAATGAGAATGGTATAGTTCAACATTTTTTAAGAAAGGAAATCTCATTTTTGTACTGTCAGATTTTAGAGAGCTATTTAGATGACTTTAAATACTTTGATACTTATTTATTCATTCAAGAAAATCATTTTAATATTGTTATGTAAGAATTTGTTACAGGTGTGTGTGTGTATTTTAACATACCATATAGAACAGTATGATGTTCTGGTTTTCTTCTCCAAATAGAGGGTACATTGCTACCCTCCAAATTTCAGGAATATCCTATCTAAGATTATAAACCTGATTTTTCTGGTCACAAATCCAACAGCAACCAAAAAAAGTCCAGGGCTGAATGCTTTTTAGAATATGGTTTATTTATAAAAGCGTCTAGTAGTATTAAAGACATATGTAACATTTCTTGGACTGTGGCATATTTAATTTTTATTTATTATGGAGAAAACTGTTCTGGCAAGTCTTAAACAATTGCCCAAATAATTTCTGTTTTCTGTATATCATTATGATATGAGGAATAGACCAGGTTGGGCAGTTGGTAAATATATGACTTAGCAAATTGTTGTCTATGTTTATTTTCATTGCATATAAAAAGGGATTCTGATTTACATATCAGTGTGATTTGGAAAACAGATGTTACTAGAAATTGTTTTTATGTTCTGAAGTTTCCTATGTCCCATTCAATAAATTACCCTGTAGACGTAAACTCTGTGATTGATTAAAACGAAGAATGCGTCAAAATGATTCACTGAGAGATGATAGTCTGACCATTTTTCTGGAGTTATTATATATTACTCTGTTTATCATTTTCTCTTTTTTTCAATAGAAGAACTAACATGCTTTCTGCAGTTTGGTACCTTAAATAATTCTCTCCCTTGGTATTATTATAACACAAGCTTTACACAGATGAGATAGTCATTCAAATCATACCATGGAGAGAAGACTTTTATATGACATAAACCAGAATTAGTGTGGGAAAGCGTGGTCACTTTTCCTGGCAAATGGAATCTGGCTTCTGTATTTGATAGCTGGGGACCCAGTAAAGCAAATGTCATAGCTGTATATTTTCTTTTTCTGTATGATAAAAAATTGAAGTTAAAAAATCATTGAATGCTTCAGCAGTGATTACATAAGACCTAGTGACTGTGTAATCATTCACTTCCTGTCTAAATAGTACACTATTTAAAATAAGAATGCCCTTTACATATAGAAGGTACTTAAAAGACAGTTGTTGCACTTCATGTACAAATGCAAGTTGATCACCTCGTATGGAAACTATAGACACTCCAAAACTGTCAAATGAGAAAACATGGGCCCAGTATGCAAACTGATTTCCTATATATAGCAATGCTCTTCTATAAAATAATCCTATTTTCAAAGAATTTAAAGACAGACATTTATTTCAGAGGGACACTTTTATTTTCTATGAGTGTCGCTTATGTCCTGATAGTCAACATGTTTCCTGGCCCCTTGAGCAAAATGGAAATTGTTTTGCTTTGCTTGCTTATTTGTTTACTTATTTTGTTGTAGTTTGTTTTATTTATGATTATAATTTTCTTTCTGGAATATAAGCCTGTGAACATTTTAAAAAATTTTATCCAAGGCTGATTATTGTGATAATGTATAGCAGATCTGACTTCAATACCAATGCATTATTTAAGTGACAATACAATCCCATTGACAAAGTTACTTTATTTTCTAACCTCAGTTTTCTTCATCCTAAAATGGTTATAACAAGTGTCAGTTGTTGCTGAGAGATTTAAAATAATGCATTAGCAATGTCTTAACCTATTGTCAATAAACCATGCATATTTTCTTTTCCTAACCAATAACAAATTTGCATTTTAAGTTGTGTTTGTACATGCTATATAAGAAACTTAAAATAATTGCTCGAACACATGAGGACACTGAAACACTTCAACCTGAAAACATCAAGTGGTCAAATATCTTTCTTAAATCAGTAACATAAGTATTTTCATTAAATAGTTTTTCTTCTTTGGCAATAGTACTTTTAAAAAAATTTGTTAGAATATTGAGGGAGAGGAGTTATTTTGTATTATACTTCAAAGAAGTAGAATGCACTTTTCCATTTACCATAATCGGTGTTTTCTCCTGTTCATAAAAATGTATATTTCAAATTGAAATTTCATATAATTGAGAACTGACGAACTTGTTAAATTTACTGCATAGCATTTTAGAATATAAATATATACTTAGCTTTTTATTGATTTAACAAATTTATAATATCTAGATTTCTGTTTTTATTTTTATAGTATTTTCAGTTTGTATACTTTTACTTAGTAGAGGGCAATGTGGAAAGAGACTTAAAAACAGAATTGGGGATTTTAATCCTATTTAAGGATCCCATTTCAATTTGCTTCTTTTCCGTAAGCAAGTCATTTTGTCTCCTTTGCTGCAGTTTTCTAATAAAGGTCATCTGAAAAAAACCTTCATTTTTGAAAATCCATGTAAACATTGAAAATGAAAGATGTTAGCATAAACTTGGAAGTTTAACATTATCAGATACCCTTCAGATGTCTTCTTAAACTGGACAATTTCTCAAATTCTCTGGATAATTTCAGTAATGTAATATTGTGTTGAGAGGAGAGATCACAGTGTAATATTTTAGATCACAATGTAATATTTTAGTTTGTGAGAGAATAAAATAAAGCAATAACCTGAGCATGAAGAAAATGCAGACTTTCTTGGGTGTATGTTTCTTAAGGCTATAGCAATGGTAGTTAATTTAAAATCAACATTAAAATATTTAGAAATTATAGGATGGCTTCCAATTGAAGTGTTACAGGTTATCTGTATATGAAAATCTTCTTACCATGAAAAGCATAAAAAAACTCCAGCGTTTTCCATTGTTGCTCAATGTCATTCATTTTCCCACATTTCTCTGTTTTTGTTCTTCCTGCTCAAAGTCAGAATTTCCTCACTTGGGACTTCACATTTTATTTTCAACTCCTTACAAGTCAGCAACATGGTATCTTACCCTTTTATGTCATAGTTTAGATCTATATTATACCTTGTTTTGAGAATTATTGTGTATAATTTCCTATGGTAAACAATAAAATATATATTGTTCTATATAATTATCATTGTTTATAGCACTTAAAATAAGGTCTGTCGTATAGTTGCCCAATAAATATTAGATGAATGCAGAACAAAGTAAGTCAATGAAGAAATTAAAATTTCCAAATAACTGAACATTCACAGGTTTATTCAGTCACAAAATTTTTCTGGAGGGCTTAATATGTGCAAAATAGGTTTTAACACTTAGAATACAAAAATTTATACCACCATCACAGCTTTTGAAGAACACATAGTTTCTTAGAAGGGACATATAACCACAGCTTAAAATATGTCCAAAATTATATTTTAGGATAGAGGGAATAGAGGCTACTATTGCCATGGTCGGAGAGTGGGAGCAGGGAAGACCCTTCACTGGAAATGCAATAATTGAACTAAACTTGATAAATCAGGAAGAAATTGCTAGGCAGAGGTGGGGAATGGATACTTCATATAAGACCAATGTCATGTTTATAAAGGATGGCATTTTTGAAAAGAAGTGTGTGACGTTGATAGATAAGAAAGGGGGTAAATTTGCCAGTTTGTTACTTTTTATTTTTTAATTATATACCAGTTAAAATTTTGGCAAAAAGAGAGCTATTGTTAGATTTGTTTTTAGAAAGATAACTTTGGCTGGGATGAGCTTTGTGGATAGAAGAACCGGTCACTTGCAAACATCCAGGCTAGTCAGCAGACTTGAAATATCACAGAAGTGTCAGTAGAGATGGAAAACAAATATTTTGAAGGTGTAATTGACAGGGACTAGTGCCCTACTGAACAAGAACATTGAGAGCAAAAAATGCAAATAGTGAATTTTTAAAATTTAGAGTAGACATACTGGATCTGGGAAAAAAACAGGCTTTTGAGTTTCCCATTTTATGAAATAAGAGAAAATGCATAAAGTAGTGATGAAAAGATGACTTTTTAAATTGAATGTATATCTTCATATCCCTGTCATGTTAAGAGAATTGAACTTAAGAGGAAATAGCCTATATGCATTCATGTTAGAATAAAATGTAAAAACACTTAGAAGATACCTGTGTGAAGTATTCCTTCTGTATTCCAAAACCATTCCAGGTATACCTCTCATAGTGCACAGATTTCTTGCTTTATATAATTCCAACAGTTTGACATTGTATCTTGGGGTCATGATTTAACGGAAGCACCTTTTCCAGCACTGGCCCTCATTCCTTTGTTCTCAGTCGTATCCGCAATGCCTTAAATAGTGTCTGCAGCAAAGTAACAGGCCAAGCTGAGGATACTGCTAAACTGATGGATGCATGAACAAACAACTTCTTTACAGACTTATCTTTGGCTGAATTAGCTACTTGTGATTTTTAATGCAGATCAGTTCAGAGTCCAATGTCTGTTGATCAAAAAAAGAAAAAGAAAAAGAAAAAAATCTGTCTATCTGAAGCCATGTCTACATTATGGAAGGATTATGGCTAGGTATTTAGAAGGTCCTCATATCTAATTTCCAGTTTATACCACCTGAGTCTGAATTTTCTTATCTGAACATAAAAATAAAATGAATGGATAGAGTTGTTAGAAGTATTAAAAATAGCATATAAAGCAGGTTGCATAGTACATTTTACTCATTAAATATTAATTTATTTTTTTAGTTGGATATACCTAAAAGGCTTGATTTTTAGATGGCAAGAATGGCCAAAACTAGGTTGGCCTTTAAAAATATATATATACTGCTTCAAAAATGAAACAGCATATTTTTGTTATATAATTTAAACAAACTGAAATCAGAGACTATCTTTCAATTTCATTTTTGTTTTGTTTTCCTTTGGTTTTAATACAAATTATTTATTTCCAAACATTCCAGAGAGTTAAAAAAAAAGCCAGGGCACTTTAACAGGAGTGTATCAGGGATATTTAAAATATGTTTTGCTAATCAAAATAAAACAGTGTATAAGTGTGCCAGACGAATACCTGATTCCAGGTAAGCCATGAGAAGACATAAGGGTCATTTGGGTAAAAATACCCAGCTTTACTGGTAATAATAGCATTTATTCAGAGACATTTGAAAATACATTAAACAATTTGTTCTTACTCCTACATCTTTCTGCTATTCACAGGGGAAAAAAATAATAAGATTGATTGCAATCAGGATTGTTTTGTGAGACTGAAAATGAGAAAAAGAAGTTCTGGTACTGATTTACATTCCTATTTTGATGTGGGGAAATTATCTTTCTTTTACAGATTTACTTACGATTCTTGGACTATGAAATGCAGAATTCGAACGAATGCAAGAGGAACTTCGTGGCTGTGTATGACGGGAGCAGTTCGGTGGAGGACTTGAAAGCCAAGTTCTGCAGCACAGTGGCCAACGACGTCATGCTACGCACGGGGCTCGGGGTGGTCCGCATGTGGGCAGATGAGGGCAGTCGCAACAGCCGCTTCCAGATGCTCTTCACATCCTTTCAAGAACGTAAGATTCTCTGCGCTTGACTGTTTGTCCTTCAGGTTTGCCGTATGCTGCCAGTCTCCTAAGCTGTTAATGGTGTTTTCTTCACTTGGTTTGAGCTCAGCAGGGTGTTATTCCTCAATAAGTTGACAAAAATCACTGAGATTCCCTTTCCTTCACTCTGATGCACTGACAAGGAGAGAGTTACGTATTACATTTTGATTACTTATTTCCACATATGCATCGCGTTATCCTTGCTTAAGACAGTTCACAGCGTTCCGCTGGGAAATGATGAATTCTGTTTGTCTTTGGTGTAGCTCTTACGAAGCATGCGGAACTGACGCAGCAGATTCTGATGAAGTTTGGTTTTAAATCTTAAAAGCACAAAAAAGCTACATATAAATGTTTGGTAGGTTCTCTTCAGTAGGTCTCCCTTGCAGTCCCATTTATTCCAAGTAGTTTTGCGATGGCAGAGTTCCATTTAAAGTGGGCAGGGAGAGAGAATTGCTTGAGCAGACAGTATACAGAAGAAGTTCCAGAAAATATTTAAAATGGCACAATGGGCAAGACCCAGAGTGAAGTGCAAAGCATGGAAACTTTAGAAAATTATGTTCTAACAAATAATAAGTCATATTAATAGATATGTATTTGGAATATTTTTAGCAACTGTTATCTCCTGTGTCAGAAATGTATGCAAAGGAAAAAGATCCCTGAGTGATACAGCTTTAGGAAATAAGCATCTAGTATTTTGCAACTATACATTTTTGTGTAATTCGAAAATATGATAAAATATTTTTGAAATTCCAAGGATTCCTTTTGTTGTCAGCAGCAAAGCAACCAGTATGTTTTTTTTTTAATTCATAAATGTTAAATGTATTAGCCAATTATTTTATTTATTTATTTAGAAGGAATCTCTCTTTGTTGCCCAGGCTAGAGTGAGTGCCGTGGCGTAGCCTAGCTCACAGCAACCTCAATGTCCTGGGCTCAAGAGATCCTCCTGCCTCAGCCTCCCAAGTAGCTGGAACTACAGGCATGCATCACCATGCCCGGCTAATTTTTTCTTTATATATTTTTAGTTGGTCAATTAATTTCTTTCTATTTTTACTAGAGACGGGGTCTCGCTCAGGCTGGTTTCAAACTCCTGACCTTGAGCAATTCACCCGCCTCGGCCTCCCAGAGTGCGAGGATTACAGGCGTGAGCCACCGCGTTTGGCCTAGACAGTTATTTTATACAGTGAGTAAATAGGTTTGACTTTCAATTTCCCTCAGACTGAACAGGTGGGGGGATACTAGGGCCCCAGAAGCACTGAATATCACTCCATCTTTGTAAGTCTTGCTACCATCATCGAGGGTGCTATAAATCTCTTTCCCAGCTTTATGTAAGGTTTAAACAGTACATCGCTATCTATGTCTTTATTTCAGTAGTTGATTAAAATGTTAGAGGTAATGTGTCTCTATTTTAGCACAGTATTGGGGAGGGAATGTCATTTTCTTGACTACAATATAAAGAAATTTAGGCTATAAGATAGCATTTTTTGTTCTTTCACTGCTGATCGCTGTGCCAAATTCAATGAATTTTGCCTTTGGTGAAGGGATCTCAAGGTTCTCTATATATTCACTATCCTTATAAGTTTTGGGTAGCAACCTATTGAGAACTCTTTGCTAATTTATATGACAAAAATGTGGAAGAGGAAGCTAATATGTTAGAGGATATAATCAAAATTGTTTAAATATCTGTAATTTTTATCAAAGCCACACCATAAAATGTAATAGGGACATATAAAAACATATTGGTACATTTAAAAAAAATCAATTTAATGATAACGTAAAGGAACCCTGACTCCTAAACTTCCTGTGGTTTTATTTCATTCAAAATTAGTGGGAGCTGATACTTCCATTATAATTGACAAAAATCATGTTGAACCATTTTAGCCTATATTAAAGAAAGTGCAGGAACAATGCAAACATAACAGTCTCATGGGAAAGTGCACTAGTAAAAATGCAAAAGGATATAGTTGGTTCTTTTGGGGGTGTAATTAATGAAGGCAGTGATCACCTAGAAGAGGCTGACAAAGATGAAGGAGCATTTAGAATTGAGATATAATGCCCAAGAAGAAGAAATATTTACCTTAGGCTTTGTTGTTGTTGTTTAAAATGTGATAACTACTTTAGACTTATGCTGGGTAATATGGAATTCATGTCTCAAAGGTAAGATCAATGTTTGAAAATTATAGGGAAACTTTTGAGTGCAATTTAAGGGAAAATGTCTAGCTCATGAGCTGTGATATTCAAAAATTTAATGGATTTCTATGAAAGATATAATCTACGGATAGAAGGGTGGTCCAATCTGAAAATGGATTATCATCTAACATAACGGGTGTAAGAAAAATATCTGTGTTGGATAGGGGAAAATAGCACCTAATGCCCCTTTCGACTCTAAAATTGATTTTCTATGAATCTTTAAACATCTACATATATAAGAAATGGTGAATTATAGCATACTGTGCCTGTATCATTAGAACTATGTCTATTTGAAATAAAAATAGAGTGCTAATTCATATGGTTAAATGCTTCTCAGGAAGTCATTCAAGTGGGTGGACTTTTAAATGAGTAATCCAGAAGACAGAGTATTCTTCCAACATAGAAAGAAAGGGCACCCAACTCTTTATGTTCCTGTACGGTGGATGAATAATCACTCTCTTCAAATGTCGAGTTTTACAATGTCATTCTCTCTGATAATCCCGTAAACTTACAGTAAACTCCCACTGAAACAAGTTTATGCTGTGTGTCATGTTGCCAGCTATGTTGGTCTTTGCAATGTTTGCGCCCCTCCAAAATTCATATGTTGGAAATCTAATCGACAGTGTAATGGTAGTAGGACATGGGCATTTGGGAGGTGCTTAGATCATGAAGGCAGAGCTCTCATCAATGGGATTAGTGCTCTGATGAAGAAGACCCAGGGAGTAGCTGTGTCCTTCCCATCATGTAAGCCAATAGCTAGAAAATTCCATCTATGAACTAGGAAACTGGCCCTAACCAGACAGTATATCTGCCAGCAGGTATATATATATATATACTGTTATATATATATATATATATATAACAGTAGAATACTGTACAAATGTTAGCCAATGCAGAAAAACAAAACATTTTAACAAAACTGTGTAGGCAATATTTTAGCCTGTTTGGGCTGCTATAGCAAAAAACCATCAATTGGGTAGCTTATAAACAACAAAAATTAATTTTCACAGTTCTGGAGGCTGGCAGGTCCAAGGTCAAGGTTCTGGAAGATACACTGTCTGGGCACTTGGGTTGGTTCCACAAGTGCCCATCAATTTATGAGTGGATTAATAAAATGTACCGTGTGTATGCCATGGAGTACTCCTCAGCGATAAAAAAGATGAATTAATACATTTTTGCAACAATCTGAATGGGATTGAGTGAAATGTCTCAAGATTGGTAAAAGAAACACCACATGTACTCACTATTAAATTGAAACTAACAAAAATTTATTTAAAAAAAAATCTTTAAAAAAAAGAGTAATTCTAGGTAAAGGCTCAAAAGGAGAGGAGACTCTTCTTAGAGAAACCCTAAGTAAGCCTGAACGGAATGTTTGCAGAAATGTGTCTGGTAAGGGCCACTTTGATGAGCTGTCAGACAGAAATGAGAAATATGTTATTGGACAACAGAGGAAAGCTCGTCCTTGTTATGAAGTAGCAACAAATGTGGCTGAACTGTGTTCCTGCTCTAGTGTTTTGTGGAAGGTAGCATTTGTGAGTGATGAAACTGCAAATATGTAAGCAAAGTGTTGAAGATGCAGCTTGATTCCTCCTGAATGCCTGTAGTCAAATGCAAGAAGAAAGAAATGATTTAAAGGTGGGATTTTTAATCCAAAGGGAAGCAGAGATTAAAGAGCTGGAAAAATTCCCAGCCTACCCATATTGTAGAGAATGAGACGGTGTGCTAAGGAGACAGCACCAAGGGTGTTGCCACCCGACCGTTTGATAAGGAGGCTGGTATGGGTGGGCATCTCAGTGGATGTCAGGACATATTATTCAAAACAGTGCAATCATGACACTGAGGGAATTTCAGAGATCACTGGTCCTGCTTCTTCCATCTCAGGCTGAGAGTGCAGAGTCTGGGGAATGGGCACAGTGACTTCAAAGAATGGTCACCACTGGCCAGCACCATCTCCCATCTCAGTCTTTTATCCCCGCATGCTGGGGCAGCACTCCTCCTCACTGCCCCAATTAGAGCATGTGCATTTTATCCAGAAAAGCTCAAGGTATGCATAGAACCCAGGCAGAGAACCACTGCAGCGGGGAGGCTGCCACAGAGAGCCCCTACTTGGGCCGTGCCAACCAGAACTGTGGGATGGGGTCACCCCTGAGATCCCAGACTGTTAGAGCCAGGGACACGTGACTCCAACCTGTGACAGCTGTGGCATGGGCAGCTTCCAGCACAGCCATGGGGTGGTACCTGCACCCCACGGTCTCTGGAAGGACCTCCACCCCAGTAGACCTGGAGGACAAAGCACTGAGACAAAGAAGATTATCCTTGACCTTTAAGGCTTTGGACTTGCTAGGGACCTGTTATTTCTTTCTTCTTTCCTGTTTCTCCCTTTGGGAACAGGAATATCTAGCCTATGCCTATCCTATCATTATATTTTAGAAGAAGCATAACATGTTTGAATTCACAGATTTCAGTAGGAGGGAAATCTGCCTCAGAAAAAATTATACCTAGAATTTACCCATATCTGCTGTAGATGAGATTTGGGACTTAGATTTTTAAATTGATGCCAAAACAAGTTATGACTTTTGGAGCTACAGGGACAAAATAAATACAGTTTGCATGTGTGAAGGACATAGATTTGGGGGGGGGGTCCAGGGTTGTGATGCTATTGTCTGAATGTTTATGTCCCTTCAAAATTTCTATGTCGAGATCCTGACCCCCAAGGTGATGATATTAGGAGGTTGGACCTTTGTGAGGTGATTACACCACAAGGGTGGAGCCCTCATAAATGAGGTTAGTGCCCTTGGAAAAGAGGACTGAGGGAGACCCCTCAACTCTCTGCCCTGTAAAGTAAGAAAACAGTTGTCTATGGGGAAGCAAGCCCCCACTGACCCCAGATCTGCTGATCTTGGGCTTTCCAGTCTCTAGAACAGTGAGAAATACGTTTCTTCTGCTTAGAAGCTACTCAATTTATGGTATTTTGTGGCAGCAGCCCAAATGAACTCTGTGCAAGCTATAGTTTGGCTATGGTTGGTTTTCCCCCACAAAACTCATGTTGGAATTTGACCCCCAAGTAGTAGTGAACTCTCACCCTCTAAAGCGTGGGTTAGTTCTTTCACGAATGGGTTATTTCATGAGACTGTGGGTTATGATAAAGCCAGGGCACTGCTCAGGTTTTCAACTCTTCTTCTCACATGTCCTCGTCCCCTTTGATCTTTCTGCCACGTTGCACTGCAGCATAAAAGCCCTCGCCGGCAGCCATGCCCTTGAACTTCTCAGCCTGCAGAACTGTGACCTAAATAACCTTTTTTATAAAAAAAAAATAAATAAATTACCCAGTCTCAGGTATTCTTTTATAGAATACAAAATGGGCTAAAACAGAACATATTCAATAATATCCTAATATCTGCCAAAATTTCTTATGTGAGGACCATAGAGTATTTTTGGAGTGAGGGGAGAGTTTAGAGACCATCTATTTCAATTTTTCACATTTTCTGAATTCAGAAAGAAAAAGAAGAGGTTCAGGGAAGTTAATTGACTTTCCCTGCACATTCTCAACCTCATGCTTAATGATTTGTTAACAGAACTGAGGTAAGAACTTAAGACCTGACTCCTAATCTCATGAATTCTCTCGTGTATAATTTTGCCTGCCACTTTTGCAGCACTTCTGAGACAGCAGTCCCATTATCTAAAGATGATGATGATGATAATCATGATTAAAAATAGGTACCAGTTATTCTAATATGTAAGCATTGTTTTAAGTGATTACAAACTGAAGTTTGATATTTCTGTCCTATGTGCGGCATACTATGCCCATAAATGCTCACAAGCTGTAATCATGCAGTCTGCCACTTTGATACGACCTCTAATATAAGAAAAAAATACAACATAAGGAGTGGCTTCTGTTCTGAAACTTACTACTCTGGGGAGTAATGAATGCCTATATGGATATATTTCCAAATTATCATATGTTTACATTTGAGTCTGAATAAATTATAGAAAAAGGAAATAAAATAATGAGCATACAAGGGAAGTATGAAGTTATTATTACAAAAGTCTTTGGACTTTTAGCTTGCATATACATATTAGAAGCATTTTATAAAGCCTGTGTTAACCACCAATATTTGCAACAAAATAGTCTCTAATACCAGTAATGTGGAGATTATAAGATCACTAAAAAGGAGAAGTAGTACTTGCAGCTAAGGCTTGAAGAAATACCACCTCTATAGCTTACTCCCATAAGTGTGGTACTACTGTATCAACTGCCTTGCTAACTCATCACCTCTGCCTTTCTCAGTTTTGCTAGAGATTGCTGCCCTGATTTGTGGCCTCACACTGCTGTTGGCTGCCCAACTAAATATTATTTTTTTTCTTCAGAAAAAAGTAGTATCCAGTCTCTTTATCCTATATCAGTGGTCCCCAACCTTTTTAGCACCAGGGACCTGTTTCACGGAAGACACTTTTTCCATGGACCACGGGTGGGGGGAAAACAGAGCCCAGGTGGTGGTGTGAGTGGTGGGGAGCCACTGTAAATACAGATGAAGCTTCGAGTGCTTGCCCACCGCTCACCTCCTGCTGTGTAGCCTGTTTCCTAACAGGCCACGAACTGGCACCAGTCAGTGGTCCAGGGGTTGGGGATTGCAGCTATAGAGCAATATTGAAACCTAGGGACACAACAACAACAGCAAAAATCAATATTGTAACTGAAGGGTAATTCTCTTAATCTATTAGGTTATAGCCTTTTTAATAACCTAAGTGGCACTTTGCACTTGAATTACTCAAAATATTTAGTACACTCTTAAAGAATTTACCCAATGGAGAAGAGCACATCTATGGGTTATTAAAAAAAAAAAGACAAAACATTTAAGTATCATTTTTGGCTTATATTCTCTAAGAAAGAAGACTTATTTAACATTTAAATATATGAAGCTAATATTAAAAGTTATTATTTAATTTATTAGTAACTAATTTAATTCCAAGAGTCAAGAAGCATCAAATCCCAGGGAGAATCAGATTAGAAACATACTTGTAGATAAAGAAAAATTCATCCAATTTGAGCTATACCATACATTGGATAATTCTTACATTGATTACCGAAAGTGTGATATATTTTATTTTATTGATTCAATTTAAGTTTATTTATAATAGCATATTTTTACACATTTTGATCACCTTTTTATGAAGTCATTGACTATAAAGAATTGCTCAACTTTTGAAAAACTTGATTATGGTTAGTAAAATTTTAATTTTAAGTGTACTTTTATTACATGTGAAAATTTAGAGCCAACCATGATAAAACTGTGTATTTAATATTAACTGTCTAATATGAAAAAATAGAGGCCTTAGTGGAATATGCCCATTCAAAGCAAATCTCCTGCTTAATTTTCTGAGCCAATCTTGTTTTGTTTGAAAGATGAATTTGCAGTAAATGCAATGGATGAATGACATAAGTATTATCTACTTTGACTTCTGAAGTCGTAAATGAGAGCATAAGAGCTTTTGCACAATAAAATATGGATCACTCAATACTTGATTCATAAGTAACACATATCTTTTTAAAACACACATGCATGTGAAAAGAGATGAAAACCGATTGTCCACTTTTAGTTTATATGGGGATTGTTTATGACAGTTAGCTACAATGAGAGAATATACTTTGTCTTATATTAACTTATGACAAAAGAATATCAAGTCTAAGCTATAAATCTTTAAGAAACATACATACAATAACATTTAAGTCCCAAGAAGAATTGAGTTGAATTAATCTGTGGAAGGCAGATTCTGAGATCAGCCAAAAGATTCTTGCCTCTTGGTATAGAAGCCTTATATATAAATCCCCTCCCCTTGAGGCAGTCAGAATCTGTGAATAGCTTGGAATGTCATTTTGTGATTAACTTACATTCTATGGAAAAAAAGTGTTTTGCAAGTGTAAATAAGGTCCTTAATCAATTGACTTTGAGTTAATCAAAAGAGGAGAGGTTATCAGAAGTGGGCCTGGCCTAATCAGGTGAGCTCTCTAAAATAGGTGAGGCGTCATTCAGAAAGACTGCTGGTCTACAGGAAGAGAGCAAACTGCTATGCTGTGAATTGCCTGCCTGTTGGAAGGGCAGCCTCTAATAGCTGAGAGCAGCCCTGGCCAACAGTTAGCAAAAAAAAAAAAAAAAAACAAGACATCACACACACACTCTCAAACTCTCTCACACACACTAATACACAACACACACACACACTAATACACACACATCACACACAACACACACAAAATCTCACTAGCACACAACACACACTCATACACATCTACACACACTAATACACACACATCCATGCACTCATGCTCACACTCACACCAACCACACACACTCACACCTTTGGGTCTTCTTCTGCTCTTTTTTATTCCTCTTCTGTCCCTAGATTTTTAGCGCGAATTGGGACATGGGAAGGCTCCCGGACACGTGCAGAGAAGCAGAGGCGGAACTAGCTTGGAGTACAATTGCATCTTCTTGCTTTATTTCTCGGATTCAACTTCTGGCTGCCTTGAAGATTTATTAAACCTTTCTGATGCTCAAGATTGCCTACAGTCATGACCTTTGGTTGCGAGACGGAAACAAGCTTTTAACACCGTTATAAATACAAAATGTGATGCATAGCTACATTATATAGTTTGGTATGAATTCATACTAAGCAGCCAATCTAGCATACTTGAAAACTCAATTGCTTTTATTCCATACCAACTTTGATCAATTCGGGGGGCTAAGATGATTTCCCCTGCTCCTCAGGCCGTATGCTGGTGTCTACCGACCTCTGCAGTGAGGTTCCCTGGGGCCATCATAGCCCCGTCTCTCTGCAGATCCTTTGTCTGGGTGGTCCCGTCAGATTCAGAGATCAACTCCAATTCTGATTGTGTCTGAGTTCCAGACTCGCCTGAACATTCGATTCCTACCTAACATCTCCACCTAAATGGAAGATGGCTGAATGGGCTCATGGAACACATCCTAATC